TGTCGCAGTCAGCGGTTTTATGATTCGTGAGCGCTCGCGATTCGTAGAACCGTTGATTGTGACTGCAAGTGGATTTGACAGGTTTTGTGAGTCGGACGTTTGCTTTTTGGCCTATTCTTGTGTCTAACATGTGCAGAGTATCATTATAGAGTCTAATGGTTTTGAGATTCCTGGTTGCATGAAATATATTTGTGAGAATATCTTTTTGAGATTTTAGTAGTCACGTTTTGTTTGTAGTTTATATTTTATTTCTTTCATGTAATTATCGTAAATAATAGTTATTCAATAATAGATAGTTCATCCATATATTCGGACTTTGACGCGAAGCGCTGTGGATTATGAGATGCTTGATGACCCTGGAGGGATCGATTTTGCTTACTGAGCAAAAAATCATGGATTTAATTTCAAGCTCTTCCACAGCACAATAAATCGCCACCATCATTTGTATATTTGATATTGAACATTAATCTTGGAAACTATTTGCATATCAAGCGAAAACGTAGTCCTGTATTGTCGCGAAGCGTTATGGTTCTGAGATGCTCGATGACCCTGGAGGGATCGTTTTTGCTTACTGAGCAGAAAATCATGGGTTTAATCCCAAGCTCTCCGTCATGACTCTTAAAATTCATGATCACTAAACAAAATGAATATGTTCTTTCGATAGCCGGCTATCGATAGATTAAATAAACAACAAATAAACAATACATACTTTTGGTTGCATCGCCAACTTGAGGTGAATCCTAACCGAATACCCTACCCAACCCTCCAACTCCGTAGCACTTATGAGGGTGTCGCTAAGTCGGTGGCCTCTCGTTAAGTAAGTACTACATCAACATTTCCTTCCCTATCCCTAGTTATGGTAAAGATGGGCGTGGCCGGGAATAGCGACAGTCATGCTTCTGTTACTCTTGTTTTGATTGGAACCAATGTTTACTCCCCAGCATTATTCCTGAAAGTAGTCTTACTGAGAATTTCAGAAGAGACGTGAGTGTCGCTAGTATCCAATCTACGAAGTATATCATAACAACGCTAACGCTAACATATATGCCCTCCCTGAGTGTTTTATTGCTTAAAAAAATTAACGAAAATGCCTTACTTTTTACGTTCAAAGTGTACTACCCCCTTAAACTAGAAGTCGCCGTCATGGATTTCAAAATGGCGTCGGATATCAATTTTTATTCTCTAGACATCATCTCGATTCCAAAAATTATCATATTGATGGGTATTTAACAGTATTTCCCACTTTTTCTTAAACTGGAAGCCACCATCTTGAATTAAAAAATGGCGACGCATATCTTTTTCCAATCTCTAGCCACCAGGCATGCGGTGAGGCCCTCCGGGGCCCTACCGTGCCACAACATACCGTGAGTGTGCAGGATGTGACCCGAAAGATGGTGAACTATGCCTGATCAGGTTGAAGTCAGGGGAAACCCTGATGGAGGACCGAAGCAGTTCTGACGTGCAAATCGATTGTCAGAATTGGGCATAGGGGCGAAAGACCAATCGAACCATCTAGTAGCTGGTTCCCTCCGAAGTTTTCCTCAGGGTGATTGCAAAAATACCCATATTGATGGGTATTTCTCAGTATTCAATATTTTGACACTGAAGAAGTCTGCATATTTTAGACGAAATACGCGTATCTGTCAAGGATATGCAAATAAGGTAGTGGAATTAAATTGAACCTAATATTTTCTAATTTTTATTAAATCGGAAGCTGCCATCTTAGATTTCAAAATGGCGTCGAATATCGATTTTCATTCTATAGACGTCATACCGATTCAAAAACTACCCATATGGATGGATCGGCATAAGTATTTCCCACTTTTATTTAAAGAAATCAACGATTTCCGGCCTCTAGACGTCGATATGCTTCCAAAACTACCTTTACTGATGGGCATTTGACACCGACAAACCGACATGAAACCAGTGGCGACGCGTAACCTCTCTTTTTACCTGTTCAACATCTTTGAAAACTTTATTTAGGGTTATGTTTACATTCAATTCAGTTTCAAAAGCCATAGGGTCTTCTAGTTTCACTGATTTGTATCCATTGGAACCAATATTGTTTTGTTTGTTTATATTTTGGGAGTTGTTGAACAGGTAGATTGAGGTTAGGGCGACGCCACTGCATGAAACTAAAACTTAACTCTTGATCGAGAATCCATAACGGCCGATTCAAATGTGCAGCGATCCCAGAAATGTTTCATCTAGATAAAAATAATTTGTCCGAAATAGATTAGACACGAACCAACTCATAAATGTTGTACGCGTGTTCGTCAGTTTGTGCTTTGATCAGAAATTTATTTGTAATTTGTATGTCGGTTTGCCGGTTGTATTTCCGCATTTTATTTAAAAAAAATCAACGATTTCCGGCTTCTAGACGTCAATCTGCTTCCAAAAATACTTATATTGATAGGCATTTGACAGTATTTCCCACTTTTTCTGAAATCGGAAGCCGCCATATTGGATTTCAAAATGTCGTTGGATATCGATTTTTGGCCTCTAGAGATCACTCCGATTAAAAAAAAATACCCATATTGATGGGTATTTGTCAGTATTTCCCACTTTTTTTTTAAATCGGAAGCCGCCATTTTGTATGGCGCTTGATATTGATTTTATTCTCTAGTCGTTATCCCGTTTCCAAAAATACCCATAGTATTTGGCCGAATATCAAGCGTTGAGCTGCCAAAATTTCACTCAATCGTTTTGTCGACCACTCATTTGTAAAAAAAATGGTCGAATATTTGCGAAACTTCGCATGTAAACAGCGAATACCAGACCAAATAGCACTATTCGGTGCAGCTCTAGTATTTGACAGTATTTTCCACATTTTCTTGGACCGGAAGCCGCCATCTTGGACATCGACATGACATCGGATATCGATTTCCAGTTTCTAGACGTCACCCCGATTAAAAAAATACACATATTGATGGGTAAACAAACCACCCGTCAATGATAAATTTAACATCCACGTGCGCATGCGCTTAAATGGATGAATGTGGATCGAACAGTTTCGCTTCAATACGAAAGTAAGTTCATTTGACAATGAAATACGAAATGAACACGAGTCAAGCAAAACCAAACAGCATGAAAACTGAAACGAAAGTGGTTCTGTTGATGTTGAAGGGGATCTGCTCGAAGAAAAGACAGAATGAGTTTCAATTGAAAGTGATGGTTGACAGCTTCGTCGTCGCTTGACGATTGTCGATTGAAAGTGACTTTATTGGGTCTTGGTGTGATGCAAGGGGATGCCTAATGAATTTTCTAGTAAATTGCCATTGCTGTTTTCATGACCATTTTTCCAAGTATTTACATTAGGGTGAGTTCCCTATTGCTCTTTCAAAGCTTATTCAGATCCCCGACAACTGTACAAAATTTGAACGAATTTGGTAACATTTGCGGAGCAATTTTAAATTTTGCATGTGAAACGAAACGATCCTTTTCATTTGCTTACCAAAAATCTAAATATTGCTCAAATTTCACCAAAACTCGGACTTAGATTGAGTATACTATACCAAACAACTTTGCCGACGCTGTAACCCACCCTAATGTACATACTTGGAAAAATTGTCACGAAAACAGCAAAACGTAATTAAACATTGAGGTAGGTAGAAAATTCATTAGGCATCCCCTTAGATCCCCATAAATTGTATATGTGACCGTATGGTACAAGTTGCTGAACGAAATTACGTTGCTAACCTGCAAGATACACCCTGTTAAAGATAGTGTTCAAAAATTAAAATACGGATGTAAATCTTTTAAACGAAGAAAAAGCGATTTAAAAATGTGCATTTTTAGAGCACTTACAACTTTGTACAACATTGAAAAAATTGGAAAATTCTAACAAAAAAGTTATGGTAAAAAACGGTTTTTAAGGGGGTACTACCGTTTGTACTTCATTTTCACCCTATAACTTCGTAAGAATATTATCGTGTTGGACAAAGTTTCTTAAAATGACTTCATTTACAATTTTTCCATAGATGTTCATCAGTTTTAACAAGACTAACAAAAGTTTTTATCTTAGTGCATACCCCCCTTAATCACAAATTTTTATCACTTAAATAAAGTACTCAAAAAATGAAGAAACATTCTAGAACAGGCCTGCACAACCTTTCTAAGCATGCTTTTTAAAATGCCCGCGGGCCGCACGTTGGGCGGTGCTGTTCTAGAAGATACCAAAATCCTAAATAGTTTCGTCACAAATCGCCATGTTTCCCTTTTTTATTTCGTCCCAGTGTGGCACTAAGACGAAAATGATCAAGTTGGGCTTTCTTATGTACACATTATATAACGCTATCTACAGATCATGATTATATGGATGGTTCCCATCTTGAGCAATGGAGAATACCTATTCTGAGACAAAATGTTTAGTTCAGAACTTAATCACCATGCGGCGCTAGTGTGACATTCAATTTGCATTGTTTGCCCTAGCATAAAAATTGGACTAGATAGAAGGTTTCCGTCTTGGATAAAGTTGTTCAGATGGACAAGACCTATACTATGGTAAAGAGTTTAATTCAGAATTCACTCACCAGACAGCGCTAGTGTAACATTCATTTTGAATTTTTTGTCCTTACTAAATATATGGGCTGGATAAAAGATTTTAGTCCTCGGCAAATTTGTTCAGATGAACAAGACCTCCTTCTACTTTGGTTTCTTATTTCTTTTATTTTCTCTTGAAAATTTGGGTAGAAGTAGTTTAGAAACTATTGCATCAGAACTTTAGAATCCCTTGCAATTCTGGAACAACCGGTACTCAGAGAATTTGAACACTCAGCGATCATTAAATCGCTAATTGTTATCTTCTGACATGTTTTATGTGACTTCAGCGAAAAACAGCATTTTAACTGTAATGCCATTTGCAAGCTTGCGTGGTGACATTGTTGAATTGAAAGCGACTGAAATGAAAGATTAGCACAGATCCACCCCAAAAAAAAAAGCAATCAAGGGGAAAAAAAAGAAGAGCAAACCAAAGAAAATCAAACGACAACAACTCTTACTATGGTGTGAACCATGACTTATACTACCGGACGGTGCCCTGGTGGGACTCTGGCGGGACGCTCGGGCGGCGTCGCACGTCTGATCCGGATGCCACTCGGCCTTGCAGTGGTAGCAGAACTGTACATCGCATCCGGGTCGTTCGCAGCGTATCCGCGGGCAGGAAGCGCACCCACTGGCAACGACGGCATAGCTGCAGTCCGGTCCCGGACACCAGCGCGAGTCCGGATCCGCCAGCAGCACCCGACGCACCATAAAGTCTTCGTATTTGGTTATGGCAGCGGGGAACGCCTTCAGCAGCGTTTGGATGTCAGTCGGGTGCATCGATTCCGGACACTGCGGGCAGCTGATGTCCGTTCGGCTTTCGGAGATTTCGATCATCAGGTAGTTCTCCAGGCAGCCCCGGCAGGCGTAGTGCCGGCAGTTTAGCAACGAGAAAAATTCATCCCCGGCCGGAAGGCTGTCGTAGCAGAGCGGGCATTCCTCCGGTGATTTGGTGCTGGCTGCCACTCCGGAACCGGATCCGGCCGTACTTTTGCTGTGCAGACTATTCGATGACTTATGACTATTTGGCGTAAGTTTTGAGGTGGAGTTGCCTCGGTCCAGGTTGCCCGGTGAGTTGGCCGAATGTTGCGAAGTGGAATCGGAATTGTGCTGCAATTGGAATGGAGAGAAAGAGAAATTGAAGGTTAATGGAATGCTGATAATTGGTTCAAGGCCAAATAATGAAGAGGCACGAAGTAAAGGTCAGTGAAGCGTTTAATTTCACCTAAACGGAGGACGGCGCAGTAAGACTAGCAGCGAGCCAAATGCGCCAATATAATTACGTACACCAACGGAAGCGGTTTAATGGATGACGGTCGGTTCGAAATGGATTTAATAGCAAGACATCGTTGAAGTTTTTGATTGACAGGTTAGAGCGCGTGGGTGACGGATGGATTGGCTTTATTGGCCCGTGCACGACTGTGCTGTGCTCGGTGGTTGGATTTTTAAATCGTTTGGCTTCATTCATCTGCCTATCCAAATTAAAGTTAAATCGCAGTTTTCACAATCAAACGTTGATTTGTGTCATCAGAAGACTAAGACATTAGGATATGAACAGAGGAACAATCGTTTCTAAAAAGAGGCTGACTTTCACGTTGTTCGTTTGGGGAAACCATCAACCACCGACGGCGACGGACGCCGTGCTCCAAAACGAACAACGTCAAGAACACTGAATGTAAACAATCAAGCGCATGCCGAACGGCTCTTAACGGTGAATGGTTGTGTTGTAGGCATTTAAATATAGAAAAACCGATAGAGCGATCGAATGCGTTTCTATTGAACACACAACGCCACCGGCAGAAGGTGTCAGGCTCTGTGTGTGTGTGCCGGTTTTTCGATCCATTCGAGTGCGCAATTCCATTTGCTGGCTGGTGACAATGAATCACCCACGGTAAACCTCAAGTGGTTTGTTTTTATTATTGACTCGGACTCGGACCGAACAACAATCGAGAATCACTTAGTATCAAGCTCAAGACAATGAATGAGTATCAATTTACGTTAATGATTCAATTAATTTCGAATAAGGTGGAACATTTTTGAAGCAGAGCTTACTCTCATGGCCTTGCGCGTAACATTAACATGTATGTTGAAGCATCTTTGTTTTTAACAACCTTTCAATCAACAGGATTATTTCGACGGCTAAAAACACACTACAAAATGAAGGCGAAGCAGTTACGGGTATCATTTCCTAGTCTAGTCTAAAGCATTTTCAGGTGAAATCTGCCAGAAAAAGCACGACTCTTTCCAATCGGAATGAAACTTTCAACGTGTTTTTAGCATTGGAGATTGTGATTTTTCCACAGATCACGCGACCATTTTGACTCAAGACTAATTTTTTGAAAAGGGCGTATGAGTTTTCACATATAGGTATGTATATATATATTTTTTATAATGCGTTTATTTTTCCAGGCTCATTTGCCAAAGCTTTGCGGAGCCGACATTCATTGTTTAAATTACAAAATTACTTAAAAATAACGTAAGTAAAGCCCACTCGCGGCTATCTCGAGGTTGGGGGTAACAAATTGTAACAAATGGATGACATGGTAGGGATTGAGAACACAAGGTTTGGAGAGCAATGTGCTATTGATATAGAACTAAGCGACAAACTGATAAAAGACAAGCATGGGGGTACACCGATGGGCAGCTATCAACTTGGGGGAACACAAGATGACACTAACTACTAAATCCTCGGATCAATCCGTGTTAAAAACATATAAATTAAATTGCAATAGTCGAGATCTCGGCTCACCAATATGTCTCTAACGGGCCGCATAGGTTGTTTTTATCGGGCCCTGAGGGATGCGGATAACTCGGATCTAGGAACACAATAGAGGGTGCATGACCAAAGCACGTGGTCAATCTCGTGATAACCACTGCCACAAGCGCACAAATTGCTGCCTGTGAGCCTGATTCGAAAGAAATGCGAGTCTAACGAGCAGTGATTGGACATGAGCCTCGACATGACACGTATAAAGTCACGGCTCATGTCCAACCCTTTGAACCATGGCTTGATAGACACCTGTGGGAGAATAGAATGTAACCATATTCCCAGATCACTCTCATTCAATTTTTGTTGCCAGTTGGTGAGGACTTGCTGACGGATAATTGAGAAAAATTCTGCAGAGGCGATTTGTCGATCAAAAATATCGCCTTCCATAGCGCCTACTTTAGCCAACGAGTCCGCTTTCTCGTCACCCGGAATAGAGCAATGAGATGGGACCCAGAATAAAGTGAAGATATAGGAGCAGTAAGATAAAGTACTCAATTTGACTCGGATTTCGGTCAGGAAATACGAGGAGTGCTTCATCGGCTTCATATTTTTTTTTGTTTGGTATCGAGCGGAGCTGCGTGACAGCTTAGTTTTCAAGACTTGACCCATTTGAATAAATTTTGCTTCTATCTTTGACAATACAGCAGAAGGACTAGCCTATGTTGGCAGCTTGAACACTGGATTCCGTGTGAATTGTTTCAAGATAGTTATAGAAAAAAAATGCTGTGACGTGTGCGCGTAGAAACATCCGCGTAGTAATCCGATTGAAGAAGTAAATTCTTGTCGAACGAAATATCTAAATTATGTATGTTACGAAAACCGCGCGAATTCCGAAAGCCGTGCGAGACAACCGAAGCGAGAAAAAAAAGGCTTATTATCATTTAAAGAGTGCCACCAAAGTAAATGTGACAGCCTATGTTGGCAAGTTGATTAATTTTGGTTTCCTCCCTAGATATTCTACTTATTTCACTATTGAGCCTTGTTTCAATTTAGTTATTTTACCCAACATATCAATAATTTCAAAATTTCATAACCGTATCGAACAAATTCTAAACAACATAAGCTCAAAAAACTCCTGACAAGCTCTACCGAATTGCGAATCACTTCTGCGTAAGCCCCGTAGACGTAGGCGTGTTGATTCCGACAGCCGCGAAAAGTTAAACATGCATCGATGCGACAATACCACATAAGAAAAGATTGATTTTACAGTCACGCAGGGTTTAGTTCATAGATCAACATTGACTGCCGTTTACAAATGTAAGTACTTGAACACTAAGAAATAAGTTAACTCAAATACTTTAACCGCATATATCGTAGATTTCGCGTATTGAGATTAATCGAGTACAATAAAAGGGGAAAACAATACCTACAAAAGATTAAAAGTTATTAATTGTCCAGTGGCCTTAACCTCAATCTACCCAACTCTCAAAACATGTGTGTTTTTCAACCGATTCGAATATGAATATGGTATTAAATCTGTTTTTGAAAGTTGGTGCACAGGTTAAAAGTGAGGTTACGTGACGCCACTGTAATTGTCACATAGGGGAAAAGTTGGCTTCGGCAATACCTTAACCTATTATCGTCAGGGGGTCCAACAACGTCCTTGAGAGCTCAATTTTGGCATGTGGATACATTGTGTTTCAGAGTAACTATTGGCCAAATTAGAGTGCTCTAGGACTTATTTTAAATTATAAAGGGGAAAAGCTCCAACTACGCTCACACGTTTCCACTAGGTCGTCCCACAATATTACGTATGGATATATCACAATAGAAGCACGCCACAGTGGAAATCCCGAGCCATAGTTCAAACACTTATTCCAAATCAAAATGAAGTACATATAAGATTAGTTACAATACCATGTACAAAAATGGTGTTTAAGATTGTTCCTTGAGTAATACATCAATGAAAACAACAATGAAAGCTTGTCATGCAAATAGAAGGAGCACTGTTGGGCTCTTTCTGAAATATTTCAATAGTATAATTCCCTTGCAAACCCAAATAAATCTATCTGCGTCAAAATAGATAAAATGAGAGTGATTTGCGGCAAAACCCGCCAGTATCACACCCAACGTCAGTGCCTATACGTAAGCGTACTACGACGCGGCTCTCAATCAAAGGAGTAACAAGTGTGATACTATCACTGCTGGACTAGATCTTTGGTTTTCGCATGCAGTGGTTCATCAGAGAGGGGAAGCTTAGTAATCCCCATTGCCTGCCCATGGCGCCATTCTATCGCGGCATGAGCCAGCAACGCTGGCCATAAACCTACCGTCTCCAACACTCCACTATAAAGCATAAAATTAAGCCCACCCACCAGCAACAAGGTGCAAAAACTAGCCAAGGGGAGGGCATTTCATAAATTCTTCTAATTATATCGAATCTCACAAAGGAATTTCCTATAAAGAGCATTTGAAGTGATTTGAATGATTTCCTTTTGATTACGTTATACATGATGACTAACAAATAGAAACTTCCGGATTTTCTCAGATTTTTTTTTAAATTTTACTGGTTGTGTTTTATTTGTTTATTTGTTTATTTAATTCGCAATAAAAGTAGTTAAATTGTCGGCTGATTGCACGAATTGGCTCATTCTGCGTATAATTTCTGCCTCGTGGCTCCAAAAACAGAAATTCGCGTTGACGAAGAGGTCTCTCAGGAGCATACATATTTAGCTGGGCCAGCAACGTTGGACAGTCGATGTCACCCGTGAGAAGCTTTCCAGCAAACATAGCTTGAGCGACCGTCCGTCGCACCACTAGCGGTTCGATGCCCAGAAGACGGCAACGCTCCGCGTACGGTGGCAGGTTCGATGAGTCACGCCAGTTCAAGAAACGAAGAGCATATCTCACAAACTTTCGTTGAACAGATTCGATTCTAGCGATCCAAGTGGCTTGGAAAGGGCACCATACAACTGCACTTGATTCTAATATAGACCGCACAAGTGAGCAGTAAAGTGATCTGAGGCATAACGGGTCCCGGAACTCATCGAAAATTTTGAAAATAAAACCCAGTTGGCGATTGGCTCGGGAAATGATGTCGTTATAATGGATTTTGAAGGTGAGCCCGCAGTCCAGAGTAACACCGAGATCCTTTATTTGTTCTACACGGGCAATGCAACGTCCAAAGAGCACATAGTCAAACATAATTGGTTCGTTTTTACGGTGATAGGAGATGACGTTGCATTTTTCGATGCTCAGGTCCATCAAATTTCTCGTGCACCAGTCAGCGAAAATACATAGCATATGCTGGAGATCCCAACAGTCCGAGAGGCTTTTGATAATTTTGTAGATTTTGGCGTCATCTGCGTAGAAAAGACGACATCCAGATAGTAACAACAGA